GGGTTTTGGAGACCCTCCAGTGTTCGTCTCATTATTTCATCGATCACAAAGTTGAAAAGGAATGGAGAGAGTGGGCATCCCTGACGGACACCGCTTTGTGTGCGGAAGCTTTTGGAGAGCTCTCCGTACACTCTCACACGTCCGGAAGTCTGAGAATACAAAGAACGTATTGTGTTTACAAACTTCTGGGGCATTCCTTGGTGGGCAAGCGTCTCAAGAAGAACAGACCGATCAACCGAGTCGAATGCGCCTCGGAAATCCAGGAATACTAGAATCGTGGGTCGCTTCTACGTATGGCGTTGTTCTAGCACCTGACGCAATATGAAACATTCATAAATATGAGCGACTAAAGCGGGATCTTACTCAAATAGAACGCTTCTGTTTGAGTCAGAATACGTGAAAGAATTGCGATACTCACTCTTGAAAACCACTGTGGTATCAGCAGTAGTGCCCAAGGTAATAGCTTCAACAAACTGACCGACGAACGAAGGAGTTTTGGGTTTTGTCTCAGAGAAGAGTTTCCTGACTACATTTCCGCACTATAACGGGTGCTTGATTTCCCAATGATAATGGTGTCATCGTCTTAACCTGAAAACTACCTGATTCTGTCAATCGTTAGGAACTACGAAAAGGTCAGCTAACCAAATATGTTCAGTCTAAATTGTTGCCTCTTGCAAAAGCACTGCGTGCTAAACTTCATGGAGGCGTACGCACAAGCTGAAAGTCTCAACATGAATACACAAGTTTAACTGGTGTAAGTCAGGATTACTTCTAGGTATCCCTCCGTCTGAACGTCGTTACCGATACAGCCACCCTCACCTAAATCCAATTATTACTGGAGTCGAAATGTTTTCGAGGGGTTCGCTTGAAGGGAGTGACAGCCCGTACGATCTTAGACTTTCTGAATATTGACCTGAAATACAAAGCACTCTGAGGGATGCTGCCTAGACATGATAGGAAAGACGATTCTGATCAGGCTTGCAGACCTCAAACAACGGGATATATTCACTGAACTGGTCAGCTTAATAGACTGCGGCAGACTAATACTGGTTAAAAACACTCTTACACTCAAGAAATTCGAAGAAGTCTCCGACCCAGTAATGCATAAACCTGTTTATTGATTTTAGCATAAATATCCCCAAACCGTGATCCAGACATTCATCGAGCGGCTATGCCTTCTGTATTTTCTCTCCTCTCAGTGATTGAATCTATAGCGGCTGAAAGGTAGAAAATGTAGCTGAACTGAAGTATTGAGAGCTTCCTAAATTTGGATAAAGATGTGGACATTGCCAGAAAAGATGGTTTGCTTTTTCAAAGAGGAAACTACTCACAAGTTGCTAAAAACTCTACCACAGCTTATGACCGGATTCGTTTTCCTTGGGGCTCATCAGGCAGGCGCAGTCCCAGAGTTTCCATCATTATTCACTAAGCAAACTCTGTTGTTCACATTTCTCGTAGCATCGTATTCACACGCGAAAACCTTTCGTTTGCCAACTTAGCTTGGTATATCATGGAGGATTTCCACAATGTTTGTCCATTCAATCCTTCAATAGAAACAGCAAACCAACTTCGAGAAATACACTCATTTGCAAATCAATTTGGTTTTCACGAGAGGCCCAACTGAATCTCTCATTTATGATATTCTACAACTGAATGTGCTGCATACAGGCCGCCTCATGATTCAGTTGGCACGATATTCGAGATATTGCAGTATATTCTCATAGAGGAAACTACTCACAAGGTTGCTGAAAACTCTTGATGAGGCGGCCTGTGTCCAGCACATTCAGTTGTAGAATATCATAAATGAGAGATTCAGTTGGGCCTCTCGTGAAAACCAAATTGATTTGCAAATGAGTGTATTTCTCGAAGTTGGTTTGCTGTTTCTATTGAAGGATTGAATGGACAAACATTGTGGAAATCCTCCATGATATACCAAGCTAAGTTGGCAAACGAAAGGTTTTCGCGTGTGAATACGATGCTACGAGAAATGTGAACAACAGAGTTTGCTTAGTGAATAATGAATAATAATGAACACATTACTTACTGCTTGAGAACTACTGGAACCATTCGCTCCTGGGAGGTAGTAGACTGTAGCTGGATGAAAGCGCCGCTCTGTGGAGAAGAATGACAGTATTTTGGTGGTGAGGTGGAGAAGAAGACATTCGATGACTACATTCAACCCGTAGGATAGAAACGCAATGAAGAGCAATCAACATCGTCCAGGCGGCAGGACACTAAAGTTCAAGTTGCCCGACACCTTTGCTTCCGCCGTGCCTGACCCCAATGCAGTTCGCCTTCTGGCAGCTTCGGATTTGTTTCAACTACGCGAGGAGGGCTCCTGCTCTGCATTGCTTCGTACAGACGTAATAATCCTATTGAACGAAATCTCTCGAAAAAACTTTCTGTGGGAAAATATATCGGTCTCAGAAATATAATGCCTTCACCAAAGAAACCTCTGAACCAAAAAGAATGCTGCATATCTATTGGCGTCGACGGTTGACAATCCGATTAACCCTGTCTCAAAGGATAGTCATTTCAAAGAAAAGTAAGTGAGACAACTGATAATGTTCCACTCCGAATATCACGAACGTGTATGACCAATCCTACTCAGCTTGATCACCGTTTCACACCGAAGCAGACTTACTAAGTAGTGAGCAAACACCAGCCGCCACGAATCGTGCGCCACCCATCCAACGAAACCGCTCGCTTCTCACGTCCAACTCGGCAAAGCCTCCCCAATTGATGGACAGTATACCAAAGCGCCTGGACTTGCCATCCATACTCTCAAAGACTATGCCGTCCAAAGGAGTGATGACTTGTTGAAAAAACGAGTCACGGGCTGAAGCGTGTTGTTCAGATGGCTTTGGCGGTATCAGCCCCCTGTTGATCAAATGGAGGTTTTCCATGGGATTATCGGTTGGCGAAGGTTCGGGATGACTGAGAATGAACACTGAATGACGCAGGCAACCGTGCCTGAAGGCCAGTCTGAAATAAAGAGACGTGAGTTCACTAACTACTATGACCAACAAAGTGTTAGAAAGCCGGAAAGCCTAACAGTCGTCTGTCTTTAGGGTCCATAAAAATGGGGAAAACCATTTACAGTGGACTGAAGCGCAGACTTCATTTCCCTTTCTCCGGCTTGAATCAGGTCAAATTTTCACACTTTCATTCAGCCCAAAAGGTCATCTTGCTTTCGGATGTGCCCCACGTGATGACAAATTTGTTCATTTAAATCAGAGCTCAAGTGATTGCAGAACGAATCGCAATTCAGTCTAGGCGAACGCGAAGCCAAATTTTTTGGAGAAGACGGACAACAACTTAGCCCTTATGGTCGTACCTAAAAGGCTGTCTTATGTAAATATATAAGTGATACTTTGTATTAATATTTGAGCCAGAATCCAATCCTTTTCGAACAAAATTCCGGTGAATGGGCAAAAATTATGCCGGGGTATACATAATCCTAACTTGGACTTCAGGAATAATAAACTGAAAAGTAGGAGGGTCGACCGTGCTGCTGTCACCCGTTATTTCTTGCTTGTCTGTCCGGTTAAGAAGGCTTGTGCTGAAAAATGTGATTTGAAGTGTGACCTCGAAGCCATCCAACCTGAAGCACACGGCGAAACTCAAGGCGGAAATATTTTTTCCACGTTTCCTTCAGGATGGCCATGCGAAATTCTGTTAAATTCTGTCGCCAGCCATTAGCAGTTTCAAATTATGACACTGTCTGCGATAAGTGGAGTCTATGGGTAGATGGGAATTTCGAGAGACATTTCCTAGAAAATAACACAGGGCCAAGCGTGTAAGCATGCATGACGTTACTGGACACAGTTTAGCTCATTAAATGACTTTGAAGCAACAGCCGAGACTGCTGATAATGAGCTATGGGGGCGTTAACTGATTGAAAAACTAGGTCAAATATTGTCTGGTACACCGTTTGGTTGACAATTTTACGCAAACTCCTGCGCATTGTATACATTACATTACAGCTCGAGAAGACAAAATTATTCTTCGTCGTTATTGACACTCTTTGAGGGATTGCAGCATAGTGTTTTTCTGCTCCACGAAACTGGAGAGACATTTTTGTTCTGTTTAAGAAGGCAACATTAACCAGGTGAGCGAATTCAAAAGCACAGGGTTTCTCCAGCGCTACCGCCATTCACGGTAGGCGACAAAATTCAGACCATGATTACGAAACTCAGCCCCCGATAATTATCTGAAAAAGGCCAAGTTGTTACTTGTTCCTTAACCACATGCAGTACAGCACGCGGCTGCTTCTCCCGTTTTTTACTAGAGTCACCGCCGTTCAAACAAAAAATGCGAGATGCTCAGGTAAGAGGAACTGTCGTATTCGAAGCGCAGACACTTTCCGACACGAACTCGTAGTTTAACTTTGACACTGTAGTGTTATGTGTAACACCAAGCTTGCTTCCTGTTGCACCTTCGAATCGGTTACAAACGATAGACATTCTCATACAGTCGACCAACTATCAACATTGTCGGCACAGTAGAAACACAGACTGAATAGCGGGTCATAAGTCAGTGACTACGCGAGTCCAGTAGATATAAAGTTGAAGTAACGAAATGCCTTTCGATACACCCAATAATCGTCCATCATAAAAAGCATACCCAACTGAAAAGGTGTGGTGTGAAGTTTGGTAATAATCAGATGCAATAGTGATGAGTCGATGTTCGAGACAATTCGAGTCAAGACCACAGATCAATAACGCAGATAAGAACGTAGTCAGTCTCCCAGTCGTTTAACAGTATTTCAGGCAGAACCGCACCTGCATGGCTGATTGACCTTGTTTCTTAAAGTGGAATAACCGAGCGAATAAGGGGGGAGATAGGTTTCCAAATAATCACGTTCGAGCAGTTGCTAGAAATTTGCAGCCTTAACGAGCGCCGGTCATCATCTTGGAAATCACGGGTAGAATGAGGTGGGCAATCTACTTAACGACACGTATAACTATTTCTAACCTATAAATACTTGGAGGAAATCGTTCGCATTTCTTACGATGACATACACTGTTACCGTTGAGAATCCGTAATCGAAAAATAGACATACGAGTGAAAGGAAGAGAGCCTCCCCTGAGGAGTCATTTATTAGAAAATGCCAGCTGAACAGTTACAGATTAGTGGACAGGGAAGCAAAACTCCCATATGCATCTTGTTTACTAACACTGAATATCCATCTTCTCCTTGAACGCGTCTTCCTGGTCTTTCCTGGATATTCATTGACTGTTGCTTAAATCCAAGCTAATGCTACAAAGCGACTCCACAAATTCCGTAATAGATCCCACTTTTCAAAAGACGCAAAGCAGATTTACGAGGAAACATACTACTCACATGCCCTCCCATCAGTGGTAACACCGTTACACCAGTACCACCGAATAAAGAACATCAACAACAAACTGTTGTGTAATAGGGATTCTGTGTGTATAAAATTAACTGCAACGATTGCACTAAGGTTTACATAGGACAAACTGCTAGGGGATCGCACACCGGAATTGTTGAGCATAAAGGAAGGATAAACAAACCACCAAGGAGTGCAGAACAAACGCTGGTCAAAGGTTCACGGGACATAGAGTAGATCTGGAGAATGTGGAAGTTTCAAGACGGGGAATGAGATTCACACCACAGCGGCTGATAGCCGAGGCGGTGGCATCACAGCGTGAATAGAGTCGAGGGTGTGGAACTGGCGAGCGTATGGAAAGCGGTTTTAGATAAGTTGAGTTGACACGTGACTGTGTGGTTGTCAATCCACGTAGAATCATTAACAAAAACTGGGGGGTGGGGTTGGAAGTCCCAACCCGACCAAAGGTCACAGCATCCCACTCACGCAACTATCTTAGCATTGACTGATCCACACAGAAGGACAGAAGGTTTAAACGACGTTCAAGAGCAATCATCAAGTGGACCGAACCAGAAGAACTAGACCATAGACTGGACACAAACACATGTAGGTTACCCCATCGACCAAACATTCGTTCACCCACCCTAACACAAAAATCCCTCGGCCGACACCCAACAGAGATCTTGCTTGACTTAGCTGATTGGTTATCCCTCCAGCTTAAATCTCGATCAACCTCGGAACCTAGTCACTTGACCTGACGAAGCTTTTGTGTCAAAAGCGAAACGTTGCCCAGCAATAGATCTACCGATTGTCATCAAACTTTTTCTAAAACGGTTTTCAGCCTTTAGTTGGTCAACTTACGAAAACGATGACTACTCAATCGGTTCGAAGCATTTTTCACCTGATTGAGGTGTGCTTGAAGTGTTTAAAACTAGAATATTGATGCGAAAATAAGGTAGTTAACAAAGCACACACAGTTCCTGTACATGACCCTGTTCTTTGTCACCGGGGGCGTTGAGCAGCTCTCGTTTACCAGGGAATTCGGTAATTTCTATACCCCTGTGCTTAGGTAACACAACTTTTTGAGGCCATTAGGATCGCTTCAAACGACCCACCACCACTAAGTGCCAGAGTGGAAATAGTCGGATCTGAACCCCAAGTTAAAGCACGAAACTGAATTCGGGAGAAGGACAAACCAACTGGCAAGTTGCAGAGAATCAAAACAGGACTTCGGAAGGAATCGTTTTTATCTGGGGAACTGCCGCAACTCGATAATGTGGATGATGCCATCCAAGCGCTGCAAATGAAACAGGTTTCATTCGTCAACATGTATCCTGGCCTCGGCCGTAGTGAAGTATTCCACCCTCGAGTAGGTTCATCAGGTAGACATTGAAGAGTCCATGCGGGATAAAAAGCCTCGTGTGGCTCAGCGCTTTGGAGTCGAAACCCATCTTCATAAAATGCCGGTTAAACTTTAATTCAACGGCTCAAGTTACTGATTGGCGAAGCGCCCCACCACTGAACATACAGTAACAGAATGTGGCCAGCTAATCCAAGCCCTTGAGGCTAGGACACCAGTCTTTCACCCAACAAACAACCACGAATGCATACAACTCAATAAAACCTTGCCGTTCTTCATGTACAACGAGATTTACTCCGTGTCATCCGTGAATTACACAGCGGCATTAACTAAGCCCATTGCCTCTTACCATCTTTCGTCTCATCCGTTCTCTTTCCTGTAGCTATGAGGCTGTTTGCATTTTGTTTCCGATGATCCTAATTATCATAATCACAAACAGCAACATCAGTGTTGACAATGATAGCTCACTGCTTCACATTCACAAAGTTTAGTTAGTTGTTTAAAGCACCCCTTATATGAGTTTAAATGCAATCGCAGCTCCGGATAGCCCAGTTTCATTCCACGCTCTAACAAACATTTCTCACCCTCTCATATTCTTTAGTACTAGTCACAGATCCGTCCCACTGTGGAATACGACAACCGGATTCGGGATGGTGCTATTTCTTGTTGTCAGTTTCTATCCAGATCGCCTGAGTGAATGTCTGGAGGTATAGGCACCTCGGAATGGTTAAGCTAGCACGAAGCCCGTTCCCTTTATAAGGCTTTCAAATAAATCATGGCTGTACGGCAGTGAAGTATCGGTGTTGCATGATGATGATGATGATGATGATGATGCTATTTCTACGCATGCTCCACCCCCCAGATAATGTTCAACGAAAAGTTGCGTATCTCTCCGACTTTGCTTCGTTTATCGACAATTTAAAAATGTCCTCAGACTGTCGAGATACAGTTTCTCTCAATTTTGTCGTCAGTGTCACAGTTGTTCAGTCGACTGATTTGCCTATTTTTCGCTAATCATCCATTTCAAGTCTTATTTTACGGTGAGGAATAAGAAGGCCGATTGCTTGGTAATTATCAGGCTTTCCTTGGCGTATCATTTTTTGTCCATTAACGTGGTTACTCGTGCGAAGCCGAATTGTTCTGGTTTGATAAACGGTAAGTGGAATGCCTGAAATTTTCGACGTTTTGCTTAGTCAGCTACTAGGTTCTTGGTTGGGGGCCCCTCATGAGTCACCAAAGCTATTGTGTCTCACCTGTTTTGAATGTACTGTG